AGAGAATTCAAGGCTGAGAAGCCTGTATAACAAACCTTGTTACCTTTACTAATTTACTACCTCACACCTAAACTCTGCTTAAATTCCTCAGTAATTACATACTCCAAACCTAAGTTTCTTTGTCCTGGCAAATTCTCACAAGTTTATTATCTCTTTATGTAAAAAGATATATAAACTGCCTATTTTGTTCACTCTCTGGGCATCATTTTTAAATGATTTCCCATTTGTACATATTAAATTGGTTTTCCTACTGATAACCTGGTCCTATGTCAATTTTATTATTAGTCCACCCATAAGAATTCAGGAGTAGAGGAGGGAATGTCCCTCTCCCCAACAATTTTGGCAAGCCAACCAGGATAATCACCGACAGGAAAACTGCTTTCTCCCTGAGACCACTGTAGTTAAGAAAGTCTGGGACATCTGGCATGAAGCCAGCAAAAAAAAAAAAGTTATGCTTTCTTACCATGTCAGCCCCCCAGATCTCTGGCTATGGGGTCCAATGGCAGCGGAAGTGGTGAAAGTTTCGCTGTCTCTCTCTCTCTAAATTCAGATTAGCAGGAGAAAATATTTGTAGAATTAGTTCGTTGGACTTTAGTGACCCTTGTATTTGGTAAATAAGTACTCTTGATATTTTTTTTTGTTGTTGATTCTTTCCTCCCAGAGATGGTCATTGTTTTCCTTTGTCTCTGTCTATTGTGTTGTTTGTTATGAGGAGGAAAAATTATAGGGCAAGACAGTAGGTACAGGCCCTTTATAAGCCTGCTGATCAAGCTGGCCTCACAGACTGATGGGTTTTATGGTTCTCACCAGACCAGCGTCTATTTAGATGAACTCTGCTATGGGTCCTCTATGTAAAAACTGAATGAGGTTTTTCCTTCTGTATTGTTTTGTGTCTTGAGACCTTGGCTTTGTGACTAGTGAAAATATTTTCTCTGGTCTCTGCTATTCAAAAGGTGTATTACCGGAGTGCACCTGGTGGCCAGGCAAGTATATTGGGGTTCTGAGACACAAAGTCACAAGCAGCATTCTCTTTATCTGGCTGTGCCAGCTCTCAGGGGAATTTGTCATGAGGGGTCCCAGTTCATGAGGGGCTTTTGTCATCTCAACACTCATTGCTTGTTAGTGCTGGAAAAAATCCCATTCTGGTAGCACCTGTCTGGCGTCACAAATTATCAGGTTTATGACTGGAGGCATCCCATGTTCACAGAGGAGACCAGAGGCACTGTTTTAACTACGCCATCCTTACCACATGTGAAGTGAAGGCCTTTGCCTTGGTGAATTATACCTTTGTAAACAGAATTGAAGCAATTACTTTTTCTCCCTACCTGATCCCTCTAGAATTCAGAAACTCTCAGTGAGTGTTCTTATTTTCATGTCAAAATATTTCTTTTCATAAATTCCATAAGAATCTCTTCTCCTTATAACAGGACACGATTGGAAACATTGGTTATGTTACGAAGGCTTTGACTAGAATCCTGTTTGAGAGAGACGTGTATAAACTCAGATATGACCAAAAGCTTTAAGGAGCTAAGGTTGACTCTATGAAGCCAGTAAAGCCCCTTAGAAAAATAGCCTGGTGCCTTACTTACAGGGTTCCCAGCAGCCTACCCAGGTGATTAAAGAAAGTCAATTCCTGGCAAATGCAAGAAGCTCAAGATACGCTGGGAATCTCAAAAAAAGAGGTATTAACCAAAATCTATAGATATTACAGGCAGAGTGTGAAGGCAAGTATTTGGCTTGGCTTTTTAACATCAAAAAACTATTAAAAATTCAGTCTGGATATTCTTTATAAAAAGTTTCACCAAAGCAAATTTAAAAGATCCTATATGATCAATTGCTATTCTTACTGTACTTATGTAATTAAGCCAAGTTTATTGAAACTCGACTTATTCTGCAAACAAATTAGTCTTAATGTGACTATCTTTGGTTAAAAAATGAGCATAATTTCACAGAGCATAATTATGTTTCAATAGAAACTATAATATACACTTGTGGATATCAGATTCTAGCACTGTTAATTTTCCTTGGAGTTTTGTTATTTACCTAAAAACTGGACTGGATCCTAAATTCTTCTAGTTTCCTTCAATATGTGGATACCACTCTCCAGTAACATTTCCAGTTTTTATCCCACTTTTGACTTGGAATCGCTGAGAATTATAGCTACCCTTTTCCCTGAAGCCCTGAGAACTGAAGCTTGATATAAACTTAGGAGAGATCACCACAATTGCCCTTGTTTAGACAATCATCATGCTTGTTGCTGTGTAACACACTCAGAAATTTACCTGAACACCCAACAACATCATCAGAGACATTTCAAACTGCAAAAAATGCTTAAACCGTGACATCTAGAAATCTCCTTGACTGGCTGCCTCCTAGGCTCGGAAACTGGTTTATAATTTGCTCCAGTTATTAACCATTGATTTCTTTGTTTCCATATAAATGCCAACCAAATTAAAATTTTGGCTCCTTTGTTCATAAAGTTGTGCTACATAAATGAGTCCGTCAAAAAAAAATCGTAGAAAATCTGCTTGTGTATCACAACTCCAAGTTCTTTTCAACATTGAGGGTCTTAGTCCCAAGCTTTGGAGATTATAAACTGGGAAAAGCAATCTTAAATCACTCTATGACAATGGAACAAGAAACAAAAAATAAAAAAAAAGAAGTGGGAAATGGGTAATGGAACAAGAGTTCAATACCACTATGCAAACTGAAAATACTCCAGTCCAAAGTCAACAGCTTAGCCTCTGTGGTATGCCAAAATCGTCATGCCTTAGATACACTGACTTCCCAGCAAGGAAGAACTTGCACACTCATTGGTGAAAAATGTTGCTTCTATGTAAATCAAACGCGACAAGTAATGTCTAACTTAAATCTACTGAAAGAAAGGATTAATACTTTCTACCAGATAAGTGAAGCAAGGACATTTTATTGGACCAACCTATTCCCAGGGTTGGAAAGCTAATTTAATGAGGTATAAAGAAATGTGTTTCAGGGGCTGGCCCCATGGCATAGCGATTAAGTGCACGTGCTCCCCTGCTGGTGGCCTGGGTTCAGATCCTGGACGCACACCAACGCACCACTTGTCAGGCCATGCTGTGGCGGCAACCCACATAAAATGGAGAAAGATTGGCACAGATGTTAACTCAAGGCCAGTCTTCCTTAGCAAAAAGAGGAGGATTGGCATGGATGTTAGCCCAGGGCTGATCTTCCTCACAAAAAAAAAAAAAAGAAATGTGTTTCAATTTGTTCTGTTCTGTCTGCTCATTCTCATTTTAATCTATGTTCTTTTCTCCCTTTGCAGATCTCTTATTACTCAGTTACTAACAAGATTTCTCTCTCCACAACTGCCAACTCAGCTTTTAATATGTGAAACTTTGAGGGAAGTTTGCAAGGAAGGAAATGTTGGGGTTTAGGTCAGGTCACCCTAAAATATCCCACTATGGCATATTGATTATTTTGAATGAAAGTTTCTTCTTTGCCTTGGTTAAGTTTTGATCCTGTTCTCTCTGTTCCCCCTGAAAACAGGAAATAAATCTCTCATGTGAAAGGTATGCTCTCTGCACCAGGAAATAGAGACAGTCTTATCACCAGAGCTAGAGAATTCAGGGCTGAGAAGCCTGTGTAAACAAACCTTGTTACTTTTACTAATTTACTACCTCAAAGCCAAACTCTGCTTAAATTCCTCACCAGTTATGTACTGCAAACCTAAGTTTCTTTGTACTGTCAAATCCTCACAAATTTATTGTCTCTTTGTGTAAAAAGATACATAAACTGCTTTTTTTGTTCACTCTCTGAGCATTGTTTTCTCTGATCTCCTCTACATATTTATTAAATTGGTTTTTCTCCTGTTAATCTGGTCCTATGTCAAGTTTATTATTAGTCCAGCCATGAGAACTCAAGAAGAACTCACACCTCCAAAACAGTGTGAATGGTTACACTAACTGTGGCACACTCATACTATGGAATATTTGTCAACAATAAAAGAGAATGAACTACTAATACACTCAATAACCTGGAACACTCCACAGAAAATTATGTTGAGTGAGTGAAAAATGGCAATCCTCAAAAGTTAAATATGTATGTTTCCATTACATGAAATTCTTGAAATGACAAAATTATAGAGATGAAGAACAGTTCAGTGGCTGCTAGGGGTTAAGGAGGAGGCGGGAGTGGGAGGGAGATGGTTGTGACTATAAAAAGACAACACAGGTGATCTTTGTGGTGATGGAAATGTTCTGTATCTTGATTGATGTAATTGACATAAGAAGTAATAAAATTAAAATAAATATTAAACAAAACAAAAGAGGATTTTGGGGGAGGAGGTATTTTTATATACTATGAAACTGTTAGGGATAAGAGAATAAGATCACAAATGTCCTGAGTTTGCTTTAACAGATTTCTCAGTCTTTATTACTTGAAACAGATGTGTGTGCACATTCTTGTATGTGTTAACAAGAGAGGGAATGCTGCAATGAGAATCTTAATGAGAGCAATTATTGTCTTAAATAAATGACTAAAAATAAAATACTGAGTTTAAAGGTATGACTTTATGAAAATAATGACATATTGGTCTACTGATGTTTAATTTTTGCTGTTTTCTTCTTTTTCAACTAAACTTTGGTTAGAACTAGTATAGGACCAGTGCATTGGGTGAGACCATGTATCTGAAACTCACTTCTCACGGTAAGAGGCCGATGTAAACTGCAGCTTGAACTGAGTGGAGCCAGAAGGGAGAACAAGTCTTGACAAGTTGCTTTGCCCATCATGGGCAAATTTTGACAGTTATAAGTATAAATGCATTACTACAGCAGTCAAGCCCATCAAAATTAGAAGTTAGCCAGTATTTCTAGCCTCAACCTCCTACTGTCCTACCCATAAGCTGAATCAGCTTTCTTTCCCGGCCAAGGAAACCCACACTTCTCTTCATCTAGAGAGAAAGAATGCTAGAAAATAAACTGATAATCAATTCTCAGAAATAATTGAAGAAGGATACAAGAATGTATGATATCAAGATCATATTATTGTTGAGAAATAGTTTACATGTAATTATGAAGGTCAAGGCAAGCGTAACAGTCAGAGCCTCGGGGGTTTAGTCCAACTGCACCATGTATGTGAGGCCTGAATGCAGGGAAGAGATCTGCGGGAGGCAGGAGTGGTATTTAACGTCGATGGGCGCCCTTACTCCAGCGGCATAGTGGTGTCACAGGGTAATAAGGCTGGTGGTCATTTAAAACATGGGAACGTTAAAACGAATAACCCTTTCACACTGAGGTGATGGTAGCTAGTTCACGGTTGCTAGTCAGATATGAGCTCAACAAGAGGATCCACTGCAGCTGGGGCGGCAGCAAGTTGTGCGGCAGCAAGTTGTGCGGCAGCAAGTGGTCCGGCAGTAGACTGGGCGGAAGCAGGTGGACACACCACAGCTGGGGCGGCAGGTGGTCTGGCAGCAGGCTGGAGGGAAGCAGCTGGATACACCACAGCTGGGGTGGCAGGTGGTCTGGCAGCAGGCTGGGCGGCAGCAGCTATATACACTGTAGCTGGGTTGGCAGCAGGTGGTTCTGCAGCAGGTGGTCTGGCAGCAGCTGGGGCGGCAGCAGGTCTCCTGGCCACGGCCCTGCTCAGGGCAGAGGGAACCACAACAGGAGCTGACCATGGTGTCAGAGGATGGAGGTTCTTGTTTCAGAAGAGTGAGTTTCCCAAATGTGGGAGTGTCCTTATCCCGTGTCCACTTTTATACCCAGCTGAGGGGCTGCTGTCACAATATTAAGGGCTATTTCCATGTCATTGTTTATCTTAGTAGACAGGCAATTATCAAATTAGTTAATTGTGGGGAATTTATACAAAGTTGGATAGAATGCATTTTTTCCTTTCTCTGTGTTAGCGTTCCTTCAATCCAATCTTTCCTCCTGAGTCACTTCTTGTCTTCTTCCTTCTGTGTATCATCTAATTTCAAAGACTCCTGAGTTCCTCATCAGATTGGTTGTCATGTGACACATCATTTGGAACTAAACACACGATGTGTCATCTCTAAAGCTTTGTCTCACGCCAGTCCTCAAGGGGGGCAGTGTGTCTTATTTTCTAAAGACTCTTTTGAGAAACATAGACTGTGAGCATAGTAGGACACTTGGAAGAGTTTTTCTTAAAACATTTGAAGTGAAGAGGCTTTTCTAAGATAGAAAACTTAATAACAATAAAGGAAAAGACTGAAAAATTATACAGCAGTTTAAACGCCTAATTGGTTTTTTAAAGCCTTAAACAATATCTATGCAGAAATAGAAGTGTAATGATGTACGCCTGAAATTTATACAATGTTATAAACCAATGTTACTGCAATAAACAAAAAATTAAAAAAAAAATAAAGCCTTAAACAAACAAGAAGGCTAAAGAGAAAATGGGGAAGAAATAACAAATACCTTAACCAATATAACAGAAAAGGAGCTGATTTCCTTAACACGTGACTACATCTTATAATTCAATAAGAAAAAAAGGCCGAAACCAAATAGAAAATTGAGTAAATGACATTAATGGTCATTTCACTGAAAAAGAAATATAAATGTCTTTTAAGCTTTTGAAAGATGTTCGGACTCACTTGTAACTTCAAAATTTTTAATTGAACAACTTATCCACTTGTTCATCTATTGAACGCCTACTGCGTGCCAGGTCCTGCCCTATGCTCTGGAGATAGAACGGTGAATAGTTTATAATGATGAATATAAAATTTTTAATTTTAATATCTTTAATAAGTTGGTGAGGTTATAAGGAAACAGACATTCTCATACACAGATGGCAGGGATCTAAATTGGGACAACTTCTGGGGCCTGCCCGGTGGCGCAAGGAGTTAGGTGCGCACGCTCCGCTGCGGCAGCCCGGGGTGTGCCGGTTCGGATCCCGGGTGTGCACTGACGCACCACTTGGCAGGCCATGCAGTGGCGGTGTCCCATATAAAGTGGAGGAAGATGGGCACAGATGTTAGCCCAGGGCCAGTCTTCTTCAGTGAAAAAGGAGGAGGTTTGGCATTGGATGTCAGCTCAGGGCTGGTCTTCCTCACAAAAAATAAAAAATAAAATAAATAAATAAATTGGGGCAACTTCTTTATAAGATAATTTAACAGTTTCTATAAGATTTTTAAACATGCGTGCCCTTTGATTGAGCAATTTCACTTCTAGAAATTTATTCAACAGACACCCATATACATGTGCTCCAAGACATAAATTCAAGACGTTCTTTGCAGCATTCTTTGTAAGAGCAAAAGTCAGATCGAGCTGTAGTGTGGTTATGGAGGAGAATGTCCTTAATGTAGGAAACGCAGATAGTGTTTAGGAGTGATGGGGTATCATTTCGTCATGAGGAAGAACACTCTCTGAACCATTCTTGCAACTTTTATGTAACTTTAAAATTATTTTGATTAAAAAAAAAAAACTAAGTACACTTTTAAGGCAAAACAGGCCATCTATGTCCAATACAGACACCATCTTGCCTTTTAGACTGAATTATTCAGGAAGGAGGGAAAAAGGGAAGGAAGGAAAGCCACAAGAACATATTTGGTTGTGCTGTTTTTCCAGTTCTTGAGTCTAATTTCATTGCATTTTGGTAAGAGAAAAAGGCTTATGTTATTTCTGCTATTAAGATTTTCTTTGCAGCCTGCACGTTTTGTGAATATTCTGGGTGTGTATGAAAATTAGGGAAACAATTTGTTAAGCATAAGATTGCATATCAATATCAACTACATCTAAGTTGATAATGGTCCTACTCAAATTCTCTATATCCTTGTTTATTTTTCTCCCTCAAATGCCCGTTGTTGAAATAGTGCGTTAAAGTTTCTGCTGCTACGATTGTGATTTTTATCATTTTTCCTTGTATTTATAACAGCTTTTTTGCACTTAGTTTCAATGTATCTCAAAGTGCTTATGACAACAGGAAAGTTAATATTTATGGAGACATAATTAATATATCAATGAGAAGTCACTATCAAAGTCAAGAAAGTACAGGCATTATAGGCTTAGGATTCTGATCTAATTGGGCCACAGTCCCATGGTCATTTGTTTGTGTAGAGATGGTTGGTCCTCTGTCTGAAGGCGAAGAGACTGGAGATATCCCTCCTCCTTAAAATGAATATCATTCTTTTTGGTACTTTTAAAATAACAATTACTTTCATAATAATATAAACCCTCTGCTCTCAGCCAATCCTCTCATTCATTTTGTCTTGTCTTGTGTGTTTGTGAGCTGTAAACCTTCCCCTGAATTTTCACACTTGACACAGTTTATTTCTAGGAATCAATACTTACATATTACCCTCCTCCAATAGAATGATTCCTCTTTCTCACCAATATTACCAACATACTCTACCTGACATCTATCGTCCTATTAAATCCAACAACTCACTGTGAGTTACCTGAGGGATGGGAACTGGGTCTCATTCAATTTACTCGCTTCTCAGAGCCCGATGGCGCAAGGCCCTTGCTAGGTGGTCTATAATTCAACTATAGGAAAAAGGACATTCTTGTTTTCTCTCAGTTAACTTGATGGCAGGCAAGATGGGCAATCTGGTTTGGGGAAAAAATTAATTATTTGAAGTTTTTTCTGATGTAGGCTTTGACTGAAAAGCAAAATCAGTTTTCTTTGTTTGCATGACAGAAACACAAATATCTCCAGTTCATAATCAACACTGAAAAATAATTAAGGGCCCCAAATGTTTCTGATTCCAAGAGAGTAAGTAATTATTGACACATAGTTATTACCACACATAATTCATTGCGAAGGCCAAGCCATGCACAGCAATAATAGGAATTGGAGCCTGTCCCACGAGGTAGTGTAGACATTTGGTCGTCTGCCTGAATGCCAAAGTAATAGGCATAGAACTTGGAGGTTTTGTGTGGTATTTAGTTTAAATTATTGCTTTTTAAAAGCGTGGTGGCGTGACTGATGGGATGAATAAACGGAGTGACAGATCAGAACAAGGCCGGGTGATGTGGACAAAGGAAATGAGAACAAGGCTGATCCTGGCATGATGGTGGTTGACTCAGGGTGGTTGTGAGGAACAAAGTTCAACAACAAGGGGATCCACAGCAGACTGGGACAACCAGAGGTGCTCCGGCCACAGACTGAATGGCAGCAGCTGGAACTGTAGCAGAAGGGGCGGCAGCAACTAGAAATGCAACAGCTGGGGCAGCAGCTGGACACATAGCAGCTGGGGTGGCATCACGTGGTCCTGCAGCATGTGGTCTGGCAGCAGCTGCAGCTGCAGCAGCAGCAAGTCTCCTGGCAGAGACCTTGGCCACAGCTGTGCTCAGAGCAGATGGAGCCACAACAGGAGCTGACCATGGTGTCAGAGGGTGGAGGTTCTTATTGGGTTTCCAGGAAAGTGAGATTCTCAGATGGAAGTCTTCTCTCAAATCCTCTTTTATGCCTTGCTGAGGAGCTGTCATTGTCGTGTCTTGGATTATTTTCTTGCTATTATTCATCATGTTTAAAGAGAAATTATCAGACATTCTGACTGTGGCATGACTCTGATGTAGTGTTAGCCTTGGCATTTAAAACGGATGCTTACATAATTTTCATTTAATAATTTATTTATCCCTAAAAGCACCATGTGCCTTTCTTTTTGTTTCAACATCTTCTCATCTGTTCCGTCTTCTACTTTTCAGAGTGTGTCATTGATATCCTGAGCATAGTTCAAGTCATCTTTGTCCCTACAACCATTTAACTTCTTGTATCTGAAAGAGACATGGAGCCACAGTTCCTTCTGTTTGGACAGTCCTTGAAGTAGACACAAACATGGATATACTAATGCACAAAACATCAGACCTCAGTACACTATAGCAAAATGGCTGGTGGTAACATCAGCATGGCACACTTGTAACTTATGAAGAAGCTAAGAAATGTAACTGGGCTTAAGGCAAGTAACTTCAAACTTACCTTCTTCAAAATAGAATTGGTCGTTCTGTCCCTTTTCCAAACCAACACCCTAATTATCCAGTCCTATTACAAATTACCGTTAGTCCAAGTTTTCAAGCTAGTAAACATTGTGTTCTCCTTTATTCAAATAATTGTACATAGATTCCCACTCTGTGCCAGAGCTTTTCTCAGGACAGAGACACAGAAGTGAATAACATCTACCCTATCCCCTTTCCACTATGACTCCATTCTGACTCAGTGAACAGCAGCAAATTATTCAACAGAATGAACTGGTATTGCCATTACCCATATGGTAGATCTGCAAACAGGGCGTTTATCCTTCTTGGCAGCCAAGGTCAGGACGCCTCCGCAGCAGAGGCACCAGAAATCCACAGCCACATTTGAGTCAGAGCAAATGAAGTTGTATCAGGAGCCACATTGTTGCCAGTGAAAGAAAGAGGCTCTTTCTTTCAAAAGGTTACAAATATGGAAATTGCCAAAATACTATATGCTTTCTTCTGCTTTGATACATTGAAACAGACCACGGAGTCATTGTTATTCATTCTGTTCCTGCCTTTAACACACTTATTGGCTTTTGTATTTTTAAACTGCAATTCAAAGCAAAATATTTTAGTTGTCAGACTAATTGCTTTGAAACCTTTCTCTTCACCACTAAATGTAAATATAGTGCCCCCAGAGCAGGTTTGTTATCAGGTCTGTCAACAGCTTTGGGGCTCATAATGAAAAGATTGTCAATTATAGTCGAATTCAGTCCCCTGTTGCAGGAAATGTGATACCCAACTGGAGCTGCTTGCTACTAATAGATTTATCTATCATTGAATTTTATGTGACACAGATGAAAACCTCATTAAAATATGGTTTTAATTCAAAATGTGTTAAAATATGGTTTGAATTCATCACCACGTTTCATCTATCTTCAGAGGTGTGTCCCAAAATAAGTAGCACCAAGGGGAAAATAGTAGTGGTGACAATGGCTCTAACCTCTTCTCCAAGTCAGCCTGAACTGTCGGGTGACCAGAGGATGTACTGTTTATTGAAAAATTATGATTCATAGTTAATGATGCTATTGATGTTGATTGCCTCTCCCACTTCTGGAAATAAGTTCTTACGGGTTATCTGTTAACTAAGAGAACAACTCTATCATTTATTTTCAGAAGATTCATAACATTTAGGGAACTCTCCTTTCTTGGGCAATTCTGCATGGGTCATGAAAAAATGTCATAGATAATAACCAGGAAAATTCTGTTCATTGGTCCCAAATTTGGGACCCAGTGTATAAAAAGGTTCAGTAAAGAACCTGATTTCAGATTCTGAGAAATTTGTCTCTATTCAGAAGCCCACCCTCCACCCCTGACACCATGACCCACTCCTGCTGCTCCCCTTGCTGCCAGCCTACCTGCTGCAGGACCACCTGCTGCCAGCCCACTTGCAGTGGGTCCAGCTGCTGCCAGCCTTGCTGCCCCCCAACGCGGTGTCAAACCACCTGCTGCAGGACCACCTGCTCCCAGCCAACTTGTGTGACCAGTTGCTGCCGCCCTTCCTGCTGCAGCTCTCCCTGCTGCCAGCCCACCTGCTCTGAGTCCAGCTGCTGTGGACAAATTAGCAGAGAGTCTAGCTACTGCCAGCCTTGCTTCTCCCCATCTCGCTGTCAAACCACCCGCTGCCAGCCAGCTTGCTCTGGACCCGTGTACTGCCGGAGAACCTGCCACCACCCCACCTGCATCTGCTTGCCTGAGTGCCAAGCCCAGAGCTGCGGATCCAGCTGCTGCCAGTTTTGCTGCCGCCGTGTCTGCTGTCAGATCACCTGTTGCCGGCCCCGCCGCAGCTGTAGCTCCTGCTGTGTGTCCAGTTGCTTCCAGCCTTCCTGCGGCTGATCCACTTGCTGCAGACCCACCACCCGCCAGAGACATATTTCCTAGACCATTTTGCCAAAGTTACTGTTCCCGCAAGAAACTTGCTCCCTAAGCTTTGCTGAGAAATAACCTGCTGACACTGAGCTTTGCTGTCATCTTTTTCTACAGTGCTTGCAAGTCTACTGAGGGATGCAGTCTACTTCACTTTGATCTCATTTTTCTTCATTTCCTCTTGATTGTTGTAGCAGATACTGGTCAGATGCACCTGAATTTGACATGGATTCATGGTCTCAGCCTCGAGAAAATGATCATCACCTTTTGCCTCTATGGCACTTAAACAGATTCTTATGACTGCATATTTAACTCTCCACAGTCATCAACATGGATCATCTTTTTAGATACACACACTACATTTAGTAACTTCTGCTAGGTCACCAAACTCTTCACAATCACTTGAATTGTCTTCCTACCTGTTCTTTCCTAATAAAATCTGTATTCTCCTGCATCCTTTGGTATGTTTTTATTTGTTTGTTTGTTTGTTTACAGTACTTTCTTTATGAAGCCTTACTTTTGAGTTTCATTTTATGTTTATTATATCATTCAAGTCTCACAATGGCCCCACAAGTTAGGCAGAGAAAAGATTATCATTCCATTATCGTTCTCATTTCAGTGATCAGAAAATGATTTGCCATACAGCTAGTGATTTACAGAAGCAGGTCCTATGCACAGGACTTTTGATTCCAGGTCAAGGGCACTTTTATACACGTATTTTACAAGTAGAGGTAACACTGGTGACTGGGCACAGGGAGGGTGTACATTTTGAGTTGCTTCTCTAACAATGGAAATAATTATATCTTTCATATACAGAACCGTTTTCTGTCCACAAAGCTCTTCCCAAATATTCTTCCCACTTTTATGACCAGTAGAGACTACCTTTAAGAATTTTAGGGGCCGGCCCTGTGGCGTAGCAGTTAAGTGCTGGCGGCCCAGGTTCGGATCCTGGGCACGCACCCATTCACCACTTGTCAGGCCATGCTGTGGCGGCGTCCCATATAAGGTGGAGGAAGATGGGCATGGATGTTAGCTCAGGGCCAGTCTTCCTCACAAAAAAAAAGAATTTTAGTCAATGAAGGGAGCCCTTACATCTTCTCTGGGTCCTAATCCACCACTTTTTCAATCTACTACCAACAAGTAACGTGAGGGTCATTGGTATTCCTGGCCCTACCCTTGCCTAGAAGAACCTGTTCTTTGATGTCATGGAATTGGCATCCTGGTATCATTTCACTCATCTCAACAGAAATGGAATTAAGAATCACCCTTGCAAAGCACACAAGCTCAGGCCGTATTTCCTGGGCTACCAAACTTTGAGGCAATTTGGTCTCCTGAGCAGGACATTGTTAAAGGAAGATAAATTTGTAGAGTTTTGAGAATTGAGGAAACCATGCAATAGGCATATAACCTATTTGATCCAATCATAATATTTAGGCCAAAAAAGGAAAGAGAACAATTTCCCATATTTTATGAGATAAAGACACATAAGCTAAAGGAAATCAAAATCAGAGTTTTCAGGAAAAAAGAGGAAAAGGTAGGAAGAAGAAAAGAAGGAAGGACGTGCTATTCAAAGTCAAGATGGGCATTAGGTTGGTTCCCAAATGGGGAGAACCTGGATCTTCAGATGAAAAACTGAATAATAAAGAGAATAGTGAAAGCACCCAACAGCACAAGGGCTGATATAGCTCTGGGAGAAAAATAAAAAGTTTTGATAATGGCCATCTTCTTAAGAGATGTAAAGGTGTTTTGGGTTACTTAACACACTAGATGTGACAGGGAGTGTGATCTTCCTAGAGGATGTATCTGGAATTCTCTGCCAGATTACTAAGCTTTCCAACATGGAGAATGGATGGGAAGAATTCTAACATTTATTGAGGGCCTGTCATACACTGGGTATTGAGCTAGATGCTTATCTACTTTAGCTCTCATTCTCATATAATCCTAAACAGTGAGTATTATTGTCCCCACATCAGAACTGAGGAAATCAGTGTTGAGGGAGGCAAAGTAATTTCCATGAAATTGCATGAATAGCAAAACACCATCTGGCTTCAAAAACAGAGCTATTTTGTAGGGGTACCAGTGAAATGATGAAGATACAGATGAATGGAGCAAAACTGGGAGTCCAGAAGCAGGTTCACACATATATTTGCAATGATGTTTGAAAAAGGTGCTAAATTAATATGCAGAGAAAGTGTGGTCTTTTGAACAAAATGGCACTGGAACAATTCAACATCTGTGTGCAAAACAATAAATAAATAAACTTTGACCTATACATCACATCGTATACAAATACCAACTCAAAATGGATCACAGACCTAAATGTAAAGCCTAAGACTACAGACCTTCTAGAAGGAAACATAGGAAAAAGTTCTATCTATCTCCTAGCTCCCACTCCGACTCCATTACAGAGAAGTTCTCCATTGTGGGAAAGAAGACAAGAGATCTTGGTTATGGGAATGAGAAACATAGAGAAGAGCTCAAATTCCTGTTCCGCCACTCACTAGCTGTGTGTGGGGGGAAAAATACAGAATATATTTTTGCCCCCTCGTGAATATTCCTCATATATATTGTGTCATCCTCCTTTATGTATATTTCTTTCTTTTTCCCACTTCCATCTTAAATTTTATGTCCACCCGTGGGTTAATCTGGAGTTATTTCTTTCTCTTTTTCTCCTCCTTTGCTGTGTCAGCCAGTCGGTAGGCAGATACCTTCTTTAAGAGATCACAATTCTTATATTTTCAAGAGATATCACGATAACGAATATTATTCAAAACCCTTAATAGTAGAGAATAATTTATTTGCCCTTTCTTTTTCCTCAATAATCTGGGATTTGCCTTTTTGTTTACACCTGTATCCCTGACTTAACATAAACAATACCTCAAATTTACATATTAAACCTCCAGACCAACTTATTAATAAGAAGCTATAGCACGTCCAGAGTTTAGTGTTGACCCAAATGACTAAAGGAGACATGATTTGTTTACAACTCCACTTGATTTCTGCAGAAACCTAATGGAATGTGATATATGATCATGGACTATTTTAAACTTTATCAACTGATAGCGACAAGAGCAGCTATTATGCCACATATGGAAATTTTACAACAGATCCACAACTTCTGGTCTGAAAAGGCAGTGGAAGGGGAAATACTCCCAGTGAAAAGAACTGTGAGCAGTACACATGGTTATAAATTTTGCTTGGAAAGAAGAGTGGACTGAGGAAATGATGTTCATGGCCTACTACCAAGCGGTGAAAAGCTTGGTTGATTGGTCTGAGACCTGAAAGTGGCAAGATTGAAAGATCAGAGATACAGAGATTGGGAGAAGAATCATGTAGATAGAACTAAGCGTGTGGACAGAATGTGCTCCCCCTCTGTGTCCCACGTCAATGCCCACCTGAGAGTATTTGCCACTTAGGAGGTTCTGGACAAAAAGGAGCTTGGGTAACTCATCCCGTCTCCCTCCTCGGGCACTCTAGTACTTGGATAATAGACCACGAGCAACGTGACCTGGTAGCCGGGTTGGAGGCTTGTGTGGAACCAACAGCATGAGCTCTCTCTGACCACGGCTGCCTCTGCTGAATGTACTGTTAGGGCTCTTCGTATGGTGACACCCCTCATAAAAACTAATCACACCACTCTATGGAAGATTGGCTTAAAGTTGGGGAGCGCAATACAGGGTCTATGTTTTGCCAGCAATTGCTTAATTCATTTTGCTCTAAAACGCACTCAGGAGAAGGAGGCCATACGAGAATTTGGTTTACATGATACCAAAGAACAAGTGCCCATACGTGAGCCTCTCTCTCGTGAGGGCAGAATGGATGCTCAAGATTATTTGATGTAGATGAATTGCATGAGAGGTTGGTCAGAGCCTGAGACAAAGGAAGTCTCCCTGCATTCATGCGAGTCCTTCAATGCGGCCATTGCTTCTCTAACTAAAACAGCTGCTGCTTGCTGAAACGTAGGACGCTGATTTGGGAAAAACTTTGTAAACACAAATGTTATCTGCATATGTGAAAAACTATTCCTTCCATTGTTAAAGAAGAAACTCAAGTGCTCATCTTGCTGGTGCTCAGTCCCAGTTTCATCTCTGCTTGTCTTGATATGTAAATGTAAGCACCCTCGAGCAGGAGCGGAAGACCCAGTCTTCAATTTGAATATGTCCATTTTTAGGTACATAATGTTACAAAGTGAAATTTTCTCATCTGAAAAATGGAGACTATAACTTGAGGGATGCTATCATGAGGCTCAGAATGGATAATGCATATGGTATGCAATATGTATATAGGTCCCTATGTCAGAAATGCTGTACAATAAAACACAACTTAGGATGAATAATGGTACAGGCTTTATTAAGAAATATAGGTAAGACTCCCTGCATCTAGGGAGACAAGTCAAAGTGATCATGAAAAGAAGAAAGCAAGATACGAGAACCATGAGTACCTTGAAAAGAAAAAAACAAGATTGTGAAGATTAGTCAACAGTTGCAGAAACCTACATAAAAGTTATGGGGATTTGTTTTTCTAGGTTACATAGAGGAAGAGGATAAAGATTCTGACTTCAGGTCAAAGCAGAGATCATAACTCTGTGTCGAGGATGTACGAAGCTGGCACATGATCTACAGACACAAGGAGAAAGAGAATTGGGGGAAGTCCTCTGCACTCCATCAAGCTAGATTCACAAGCTTTTCAACAGGCAGATGAGTAACAAAAATTTAGTGATAGCATGCTGGCTTTCAGCAACCTTGGTAAGTAAACTTGTGCTAGGAATGGCAAGTCAGGTGATAAAAAGTTTGGTTTGTGCTGATGGCGGTTCTTTGGTGAAGCAATCAGCAGCAGCAAGGCTGGCGGCAGCTGGATCTGCAGCTCTGGGCTTGGCACCCAGGCAGGCAGACGCAGGTGGGGTGGTAGCAGGTTCTCTGGCAGTACACGGGTCCAGAGCAAGCTGGCTGGCAGCAGGTGGTTTGACAGTTAATTGAGTGGCAGCAATGCTGGCAGCAGCTGGACCCACTGCAGGTTTGTCCACAGCAGCTGGACTCAGAGCAGGTGGGCTGGCAGCAGGGAGAGCTGCAGTAGGAAGGGCGGCAGCAGCTGGTCACACAAGTTGGCTGGGAGCAGGTGGTCCTGCAGCAGGTGGTTTGACAGCGAGTTGGGGGGCAGCAAGGCTGGCAGCAGCTGGACTCAGAGCAGGTGGGCTGGCAGCAGGTGGTCCTGCAGCAGGTAGGCTGGCAGCAGGGGGAGCAGCAGGAGTGGGTCATGGTGTCAGGGCTGGAGGGTGGGCTCCTGTTCAGAGGTGAGTTTTCAAGAATCTGATGACTCCTTCTCTTCTGGGGCTTTTATACGCTGACCCCCAAAGTTGGCACCAATGAGCAGGACTTTCCTTGTTATTGTTTACATTATCTTCCACAGTCACTGGGGGAGTTGTCATGGAGGAAGCTGTTCCCTAAATATCACGAATCTTTAGAAAATAAGTGTTTAAATCTGTTTCTTAATTGAGAATAACTCACAGAAAGCTTTTTCAGATAAAAGGAAGGCACTCACATCATCAGCATCATTCCTGCTTCAATCACAATCTGATCATGTGATCTATTTCCCACTGGCCTGGGGAGGTCAGAGCCGTTGTCCCTCCCCAGCTTTGTTCCTTTGGTTGTCTGTAGATTGGGAAGCCTCCTTGGGGAGGGGCATGATGCTGACATGTTCACAGTGAGGAACTGAATCCATGCTGAGTCCAAGTCTGTTACCCATAAAGCCTGAATCAAGACACCCACAGGCATCTCTCTCTGTAGCAACCTACCCACCTGTGTAGCCCAGTTCTATCAAAGACACTTGGGTGGAGGATGTTGGCACAATCTCCTCCATATGGCAAAGCAGAGCCAAAGTAGGTGGGCTGAAGCAGAGGCAGTGCACTGGAACTAGGGAAGGATCAGTCAATTTTCATCCCAGGTGACCAGTTGTCCTGATTTGCCCAGGACTGAGGATTTTTCCTAGAATTGGGCCTTTCAGCGATGGAACTGGGGCAACGCTGGGAAAATGGGAAGAGTTGGTGCCTCTAGTCCTAACCTTGTTTACCAGCCAAGTCGGTGACCTCACATCACTGACAACACATTTATTGTTGTATCCTTCCTTCCCTTCCTCCCTCCTTCCTTCCTTCCTCTCTTCCTTCCTTCCTCTCTCTCTCTCTTTATTTTTCTTTATTTTTTTCTTTCTTTTAATGAGGGAATTGGATTAGTTGAGATGATACTTGATTTATCTTTGGGGTCTAACGTGTTTAAACTTTTTTAGGTGTACCATTCATTTAAAAAGTTTGCAAATTATTAATTTCCAACTTGATAGATTATCATGAAATGAACACACCCATGTCAATACTGCCAGGTTAAGAAATAGAAATTAACCCCACTCCCTCCAAATTATACCCCCTCACTCATCCCCTAAGTCCATACATCACTGTATTGACTTGTAACCCTATACGCCAGTTTTGCCTTTTTTGGACGTTTATATAAATGAAAAAATATATAGAATTGTTTTCTCTTTACATTATTATTGTGAGATTCAACAACAGAATCATTTGTTGTTTATTCATTGTTGTTGCTGTATAATCTTCCACTGAATGAATTCGGCACATTGATTTATTGACTGTCCTCTTGATAAACATGTAGGTTTTGAAGTTTGGGATTACTAAAAATAGTGCTTCTATTAATGTTCTTGTACAGGGTGTTTGGTAAATGCATATAAATGTTTCTTTGGATATACACCTGGAAGTAGATTACTCATAATATTGCTTGGTCAAAATGCTTATTCTATTCTCTGTGGATGTCTTGCCCATCTTTCATTAGATTTATTTCCAGATAATTTAATTTTTATGCTACTATATATGTTATAATTTTAATTTTTAATTTTTAACTGCTTCTGACATATACTTCTGAGAAACTTCATTTATGTATGTTGATCTTGTAACCAAACTCCCTTATTATTATTATTATTATTATTATTAATATTTTTCCTGAGGAAGATTCACCCTGAGCTAACATCTGTGCCAATCTTCCTCTCTTTTGTATGTGGGTTGCTGCCACAGCATGGCTGCCGACAAGTGGTGTAGGTCCACGCCCGGGAACCGAACCCAGGCCACCGAAGCAGAGCACGCTGAACTTAATCACTAGGCCATGGGTCTGGCCCCTCCCTTATTATTTTTAATAGTTTACCAATAGAGTTTTTTTTTGAAATTTTACATGGACAGTCACATCATCTGCAGATGATGTTGGCTTTATTCATTTCATAGCAGCCTTTTTATCTTGTAAATTTTTTCCTTCCCTAGTCCACTAGTGGGCCCAGAGTACAATGTTGAATAAAATGGTGAAATGGATATCTTTGTGTATTCTTTATAGAGCAGGGACAACTCTCAATATTTCACAATTAAACAGGAAACTTTCTGTCTTTTTTGTAGATTCTTTCCATCAGAGTAACTAAGCTTTTTCTATTCCTTATTTGTTAAGATATTCTACATTGGAAATGTGTTGAAATTTATAAAATGCTTTTTCTTTACCTATTGAGATAATTTTATGATTATTCTCTTGTTTTTTCAGTAGATGTGATTAAAAAACATTGGTTAATATTCAAAAGTTAAACCAACCTTGTATTTCTGAAAACAATTCAATGTGGTTATGATCATATGTTTATGGCACTGGATTTTATTTGCTTATAGGATACATGCTCTGATTGTATCCCACAAATTTATTCCTCTGTTCTTACTCAGTTTCCTCTAACTTCTTTAAATGTCAGCCCTGAACGTGGCAACATCCCCCTCCCTGCTTCCTGTGACCCAATTTGAACCCGATGTGACTCCCTGTATTGGAATTTCTGAATGCACTTTCATGCTCCATGAGATTAACCAGCAGTCCTATTGCAGAGCAGGGCTTGAGGAACAACAGCTCTCTTTTAAACTGGAAACGCTAGAATATTCCACTGGTCATTTTCAGGCATACATGCCATGGAGAGAATCCCAAGGAGAAACATGTAACCAAATTGCTGAATTTTGTTATCTACTTTGAGCAGAGGCAACAAATTCCTAATTTTCTGAAATTAATAATTGGTCATTTCTACAACAATATTGTATTATTCTGGAGAACTTAAGTAACGAATTGTCTTTAACCTTCAACTCAAATTATAGGAAGAGGAAATTCCGACAGAATATGTAAGCATCAGCACAACTCACTGAAGAGAATCTGGGGGGAAAAGTGTGATTGATGGATCAGAAATAACAAGCTGGTGATAGATTATCACCTAATCAACAAACACATAAGACGTTATAGCCCTTGCAACTTTCTAAGACAGACCTATTTCACTGAGCTCTCCATGTATAGTTTGGAAGAGATTTGAGAAGAAATCCTGCATTACCTAAAAATATACTTAGGCTTCTATGACATGTAATATCATAATTGGCTGTTAAATGTTATGGCAGAAATGAACCAAGAGGAAGTTTACACTAACGTGTCAGAAATGATACAATTTGGGGGCTACAGGGATGTCCAAAGAACAGGAAAACAAGAGATCTGTGATTGCCCTGGAAAGTAGAACTTAAAAGTGCCGCAAAAAGAAACAGAGCAAAATTGTGCAAGGGCAACCTAAAAAGAAAGAATGGCTTAAACGTTAGCAGAATTGACTCTAACCTCGTTGAAGATTTTGTAAAAATGAATGTGTGTTTCTTAAGTGGGGGTGGGGTAGTCAACCACGGAAGTTTGTGGTCAGAAGAGGCACACCTGCAAAGGTTAGCGACGCACAGCCAAGCACTGCACAGGGGAGAGGGACACTGTGCATGTGTCTTCTAGTTCTTTAAGCAAGACCATGTTTTTTAACATGAATGCATGAGATGCCACTAAATATTCAGTCTTTCTAACTTATCTCTTTTGATTCCTTCTGCAGAAAATAACCTCCTAGTTTTTATTTGAGTTCTCTCTAGGCATAGAGAAACGACTGACCCCAAAGACTTATGAAAACTTCAGTTATTACACTTAACATATAATTAATAAATTGCCATATTAGTTTTACAGACTTGGAAAAAATTGTTAAGCCCCAAGATGTGGACTCACCCTTTCCACATAAATAAGATCAGATTTTTAAATCTCCAAGAATGAAGTTAAGCTCTGGTATATTTCTTAAGATAATAGAAGACAGTTTCCTTTTATCCCCAAGTTGAGTGGATAACTTATTTCATATCAGTTTGTATTTTTCTTAAAAATATGTTATGCCTTTGAATGCTTATGGAATTCAGACAATGACAGCAAAATCAGCAATCCATCAATCAGTTGTACTGATTGAACAAGAAAGAGATGTTTAGGGACTTCATAGACACTCAGGAGTAGAAGAGATCCTTAGAATCCTCCGATAAAATTCACCCCCTGAAGCTGAAAATCCTTGATACAAATACCAATATCTGCCAGCTGGTTGTTTAGCTGACATACAGATGGCCACAGTGATGTGAGTTCCTATCCCCAGTGTAGCCCGTTCCATTTTGGGGTATCTCCCGTAAATAGGGCTTCATTGTGTTAGCATCCATCCCCTCTCGGCCTCCTGCATCTTTTCCTCATTGGGATCCCTTGTGATTAGACAGTCAGAATGGCATTGTTGAGAAGTTCCTCCCCTCATTGGACACCTTGTCTCCTGATATTCTGTGCCGCAGAATCACGTTCATTTTACTCTAATCTCTGGCATGTTTTCCCATCTCATGGGATGCACTTCTGGTTACGTACAGCAGTTCCTTGCTGACTGCATGAAATTTAAGGTGCTCATCCCTTGCCCTCCCTTCTCCTTCTTGGCCAAGGTCCTTATCACTGACTGTGCCAACTAGATCTTTATTGTTAAGATTAGGTTCAGAGTATTTACAATATATATATTCTAAAATTTATTAGATTTTGTTTTAGTGGAATCAAGTTTCCATGAAATATATGGACATTTCTGTTCATTCCTCATTACTTTTTCTGTGCCGCTTTTGTAAGATGCTTCTAGTTTGCATCATCTATTTTCTGTGTGAGATCCCTCAAAGAGAGTGCATCTATTTATCTCTCATTTTATCTTCAAAAATATGTCCTCTCTTGTGGAAGTAGAAGACTATAGATCTTGGTCATGGGAATTAGAGTCATATAGACTCTACTATTCATAACGGGAGTATTCAACTCCTGTTATGCTACTTAGTAGCTATTTGTTTGGGTGCAAATGTAGAATACTTTCATGCCATCTCATGAATCATTTCTCATATATATTGTGTCATCCTCCTTTAAGTATATTTCTTTCTATTTCCCACTTCCATCTCACATAGCATGTCAACTCCTGGATTATTCAGGAAATTTTTCATATTTCCCTCCCTTTATATGTTGGAGCCCCAATCCCCAATGTGAAGACATTTGGAGTTGGGATCTTTGAGAAGTAATTCAATTTGGGTGAGGTTATGAGGATGAGGCCCCCATGAGGGGATTAGTGCTCTTATAATGAGAGAAACAGACCAGAGCCCTCTCACTCTCTCTCTGCCATTTGAGGATACAGCAATAAAGCAGCCATCTGCAAATCAGGAAGGGGTCCAACCAGACACCTAATATGACAGCACCTTGATCCTGGACTTCCCAGCCTCCAGAACCCTGAGAAATAAATGTTATTGCTTGAGCTACCCAGTCTATGGTAGTTTGTTACAGCAACCTAAACTGACTGAGACACCCACCCACATATCTTGGATCTTAGTATGCTCAGACCAATTTCCATCTGCCAGATGTGCATCTCTGTGTCTAAGGGATCTCTTCATGCAAGAGCAGAAAGTCGTGCTGCCTGTGCACGCCACATGGAAAAAAACACTCAACTAATGATTCTGGAGAGCCGTTTTTGAAGACTCCTTTGTTCCTCAAGTAGGATGATTCTAAAGTGTATGTTTTACATCATTTTTGTTAGTTTTCCCTCAGGTTTAAGCTTTGGTTACAAACTGTGACACTGGCTTCATATACACCCTTGCCTGCATCATTTCCTTAGTTCTCTGCCAGTGTGATCTGCATATCCTAAATACACTATATTCACTTGAATCTTTTTCTTAGGATATTTTCTGAGAAAATGAACTGTGACTTTAATTTACCTCTCTCAGTCTTAATTACTTGTCTTCTAAAATGGAAACATTTATACCTACCTTGAAAGCTTCTTCAAGAATTAAAGATATGGGGCCAGCCTCGTGGCTTAGCGGTTGAGTGCGCACGCTCCGCTGCTGGTGGCCCAGGTTCGGATCCCGGGCACGCACCGACGTACCGCTTCTCCGGCCATGCTGAGGCCACGTCCCACATACAGCAACTAGAAGGATGTGCAACTATGACATACAACTATCTACTGGGGCTTTGTGGGGAAAAAAAAAAAAAGGAGGAGGATTGGCAATAGATGTTAGCACAGTGCCGGTCTTCCTCAGCAAAAAGAGGAGGATTAGCATGGATGTTAGCTCAGGGCTGATCTTCCTCACACACACACACACACACACACACACACAAAGAATTAAAGATATGTACATAAAGCATTTATTCAATATCTAGCAAATAGTAGGCAACCCAGAACATGTTAGTTCTTCATCTCGTTCACCCAAAGACTCAGCAAGAAACAGCAGTCAGCAAGTTTGGTCCTGGCAGTCTCTTCAGAGCATCCCAGATACATAGTCTCAGAAGTTGGCATGTGTCCAGGACATCAGCCTTGTTAGCTCATCAGAAGTACCTCTCCTGCTCCCAAGGAGGTGACCCAGATCCCAAACTCTTCTACTCTCCTCAGAGGCGGAATCAAGCCTTATCTCACTGAATGCTTGGGCAGCATCGTTAGTTCAGTGCCAACAGCATCTGACTTCTGTCTGTCATCCCTCCTATGAATGCACAGGTTCTGCAACTTTTCTTCTTTCTCATATTCTTCTGATTCCCACAGAATCACAAGTTTTTATTTCCTTCAGATGTTTCCTATTTGCCTCACAAAATACAGGAGGTTGTTTTGTTCCCCTAGATAGTTCAGAGGGTATGGAGTGCTCAGAGTCATAGAAGTCCATTGCATAGTTTCCCAATCGCCAATTTTATCATTATTTAATTTTCTTAAAAACATTTTAATCAGGAGGACAAATTGCCATAAATTTGGAGAAATACATTATATGGTCCATTTTTTTTTTTTGGAGGGAGTTATTTAATCCTCGTTCTGTCAATAGATACTCAGAAGGAGGCAATTCAGAATTTGATTTACATGATGCTAAGGAGCAAGTCCCTCTAGATGAGACTCTTGCGAGGACACAATAGATGCTAACAATATTTGATGTGGATAAATTGACAGGAAAGGCTCCCTGAACTCACAAGAGCCCTAAAATGCAGTCCCTGCTGCCCTAACATGCAGCTGCTGCTTGCTGAGGGGTGGGAAACTGATTTAGGAAGGATTTTGTAAGCAGACATTGTCTGTATATATGAAAGATTGTTCCTTCCATTGTTAAAGTAGAAATTCGGTTGCACATTTTACTAGTCCTCAGGACTCAACATCATTGACTTCTATTGACATGTAATGTGGGTGCTCTTGAGAAGGAACCAAAGATCTAGTCCTGGATCTGAGTCTGTCCATTATTAGCTACATGATATTACACAATGAAATTCTCTCATTTAAAAATGTGGAAAATAATTTATAGTGAGCAGTTTTGTAGCTCAAGTTGGATGACACATATGGCATGTAATATGTATATAAGTTCCTAATTCAAGAATACTGTACAGTAAAACAAAACACAGTATGGGATGAAAATAGTACAGAATTTATTAAGAAATATATAGACAACTCAAAGTGATCATGGAAAGAAGAAAGCAGAATAAAGAATCATGAGTACATTGAAAAAGAAAATATGATTATGAAGAGCATTGATTAGTTGCAGAAATCTATGAAAAAGTTATGAAGATTTGTTTTCCTAAGTTACTTAGAGGGAACAGGCGATCCTGACTTCAGAGTCCAAGCAGAGATCATAATTCCATATTGAGGATGCATAAAGCTGGTACAAGATCCACGTACACAAGGAGGAAGAGAATTGAGGCAAGTCCTCTGCATTCCATCAAGCTGGCTCACAAGTTTTTCAACAGGTAGATGAGAAACAGAAATGATGGTAGAGCATGCTGCTTGTCAGCAAAGTCTAGGAAGTGAATTTGGCTCCAAAATGGCAAGTCAGTTAACAAAAGGTATTGTATGCAGATGGTAGTTCTTTGGGAAGGTGATCAGCAGCAGGAAGGCTGGCAGCAGCTGGATCCACTGCTCTGGACTTGGCACCAAGGCAGGCAGACACAGGTGGGGTGGTAGCAGGTTCTCCGGCAGTACACGGGTCCAGAGCAAGCTGGCTGGCAGCAAGTAGTTTGACAGCAAGATGGGGGACAGCAAGGCTGGCAGCAGCTGGACCCACTGCAGGTTTGTCCACAGCAGCTGGACTCAGAGCAGGTGGGCTGGCAGCAGGGAGAGCTGCAGTAGGAAGGGCGGCAGCAGCTGGTCACACAAGCTGGTTGGCAGCAGGTGGTCCTGCAGCAGGTAGTTTGACAGCGAGTTGGGGGGCAGCAAGGCTGGCAGCAGCTGGACCCACTGCAGGTGGGCTGGCAGCAGGTGGTCCTGCAGCAGGTGGTTTGACAGCGAGTTGGGGGGCAGCAAGGCTGGCAGCAGCTGGACCCACTGCAGGTTTGTCCACAGCAGCTGGACTCAGAGCAGGTGGGCTGGCAGCAGGGAGAGCTGCAGTAGGAAGGGCGGCAGCAGCTGGTCACACAAGTTGGCTGGGAGCAGGTGGTCCTGCAGCAGGTGGTTTGACACCGAGTTGGGCGGCAGCAAGGCTGGCAGCAGGTGGACTGGCAGCAGGTGGTCCTGCAGCAGGCAGGCTGGCAGCAAGGGGAGCAGCAGGAGTGGATCATGGTGTCAGGGCTGGAGGGTGGGCTCCTGTTCAGAGGTGAGTTTTCAAGAATCTGATGACTCCTTCTCTTCTGGGGCTTTTATACATGCGGGCCTCCAAAGTTGGCACCAATTATCAGGACTTTCCTTGTTCTTGTTTACGTTGTTTTCCATAGTTACTGCAGGAATTGTAAAGAGGAAGTTATTCTCTAAACGTTATTAATCTTTTGAAAATAAGTGTTTAATCTCTTTCTTAATTGACAGTAACTCATAGAAGCTTTTTTTTCAGATAAAAAGAAATGGTGACATTCTCAGCATTGTTCCTGCTTCAATCACAGTCCGGTTGGGTGATATGGTTCCTGACGGCCTGGGGAGATCAGAGCAGGTGGTGACTCTATGCCTAGTCTGTTTACTACCAGAGTCATTCTGGTCACTGACTGTATTTCCTTTTCTTCCTTTCTTTTTCTTTTTTTAATGAAGTAATTAGATTAGGTGAGATGATATCTGAGGTATCTTTGAGTTCTAATATGTTTAAAACTTTTTTGAGGTTTAGCATTCATTTTAACAAGTGCCCAAATTTTTTATTTCCAACTCAATAAATTGTTATCAATTTCCAACTTAATCAATTATCTCAAAGTGAATACACTTGTCTCACTATTACCAGTTTAAGAAATAGAACTTAAGCTCGTCTCCTTCAAATCATATCTCTCACTCATTCCCAAAGGTAGGTAAGTTTAGGCTGTTTCTAAACTTTACATAAATGAAATAGTGTATAATTGGCCACTTTCTGTTTACATTATGCTTGTGAGACTCATCCGTGTAATTATGTGATTATCTGTAGTTCATTCATTCCCCTTGCTGTATAATCTTTTACTGCATGAATATGACATAATTTATTTGTTTACTCTACTGTTGATAAACATGTGGATTGTTTGCAATTTTAGACTAATAAAAATAGTGCTGCTGTGAATGTTATAGTACAGGTCCTCTGGTAAACATACACAAACATTTCTGTTGGATAAACATCTACAAGTAGAACTGTTCATAGAATTGCTTGGTGAAAGTGTTTATACTGTTTTCTGTAGGGGTCTTTCCCATATTTTATTAGATTTATTCCCGGGTATTTTATTTTTTATGCTATTATAGGTTACAATTAAAAATTTTAACTTTTCACTGTTTCTGACATATGGAAAAATAATTTATTTCTGTATGTTGACGTTGTGACCAAAGTTCTTTATTATTTCTAATAGTTTATCAATTGATTTTTTTGGAAACGTAACATATACAAGTCATATTAACTACAGTGGATAGGACTGCCCTTCTAAATTTGAACTTAAAAGGTAAAAATAGGAGCAGAAGCAATTTATGCAAAAGTGCTTTAAAGATAAAGAATGAGATCAAGACTAATCAAAAACATAAAATGTAGGAGGGTAGTAAAAATGTAGGGCTTTTAGTAAGAGGGTGAACTTAAGAGACCATCAACTTAATATAGATTGTTATTTATAAAGGTTATTATATATGAACCTCATGGTAATCACAAACCAGAAACCTATAATAAATACACAAAAAAATAAAGAGAAAGGAACCCAAACATAATATTAAAGAAATCCCTCAAATCAGAAGGAAAGAGAAAAAGAGAAGAAAGAAACAGAGAAGAACTACCAAATCACCCAGAAAAAAAATAACAAAATGGCAATAAGTACATACTTATCAATAGCTACTTTAAATATCAGTGGACTAAATGCTCCAATCAAAAGGCATAGAGTGGCTGATTGGATTAAAAAACAGACCCATATATATGCTACATACAAGAGACACATTGAGACCTAAAGATACTCACAAACTGAAAGTGGAGGGATGAAAAAAGATACTCCATGCAGAAGGAAGTGAAAAGAAAGCTGGAGTAGCAATACTTTCATCAGACAAAATAGACTTTAAAACAAAAACTGTAACAAAATACAAAGAATGGCACTACATAACAATAAAGGGAACAATCCAACAAGAGGACATAACACTTGTAAATATCTATGCACCCAATGTAGGAGCACCTAAATATATAAAGCAATTATTAGCAGACATAAAAGGAGAAACTGACAGTAACATCATAATAGTAGGGGATTTTAACACTCCACTTACACCAATGGATAGATCATCCAAACAGAAGATCAATAAGGAAACATTGGCCTTAAATGACACACTAGAACAGATGGACTTAGTAGATATATACAGCATTCCATCCAAAAACTGCAGAATACACATTCTTTTCAAATGCACATGGTACATGCTCCAGTATAGATCACATATAAGGCCACAAAAAAGCCTCAATAAATATAAGAAGATTGAAATAATACCAAGCATCTTTTCTGACCACAATAGTATAAAACTAGAAATCAACTACAAGAAGAAAACTGGAAAAGTCACAAATATGTGGAGATTAAACAAAATGCTACTGAACAACTGTTGGATCAAGGAAGATATCAAAGGAGAAATCAAAAAATACCCAGAGACAAATGAAAATACAACATACCAAAATTTATAGGATATAGCAAAAGTGGTACTAAGAGGGAAGTTTATAGCAATACAGGCCTACCTTAAGAAACAAGAAAAATCTCAAATAAACAATCTAACAGTACAACTAAAGGAACTAGAAAAAGAAGGACAAACAAATCCCAAAATCAGTAGAAGGAAGGAAATAATAAAAATCAGAGCAGAAATAAAAAAAAAAAAAAGAAAGAAAAAAATCAATGAAACAAAGAGCTGGTTCTCTGAAAAGATAAACAAAATTTACAAACCTTTGGCTAGATTCATCAAGAAAAAAAGAGAGAAAGCTCAAATAAATAAAATCAGAAATGAAAGAGGAGAAATTACAATATGCACCACAGAAATACTAAGGACTATAAGAGAATACTATGAAAAGCTATATGCCTACAAATTGGATAGTCTAGAAGAAATGGATAAATTCTTAGAACCATACAACCTTTCAAAACTGAATCAAGAATAAATAGAGAGTCTGAATAGAACAATCACTAGTAAGGAGATTAAAACAGTAATCAAAAACCTCCCAAAAAACAAATGTCTGGGACCAGACGGCTTCCTTGGTGAATTCTACCAAACATTCAAAGAAAACTTAATACCTATCCTTCTCAAACTCTTCCAAAAAATTGAAAAGGAGGGGACATTTCCTAACTCATTATACAAGGCCAAAATTACCCTGATACCAAAACCAGACAAGGACAACACACAAAAAAGAAAATTACAGGCCGATATCACTCATGAACAAAGATGCAAAAATTCTCAACAAAATACCAGCAAATCACATACAACAATACACTAAAAAGATCATATACCATGATCAAATGGGTTTTAGTCCAGGGATGCAGGGATGGTTCCAGATCCACAAATCAATCAACGTGATACATCACATTAACAAAATGAAGAATAAAAATTACATGATCATCTCAATAGATGCAGAGAAAACATATGAGGTACAGTATCCATTTATGATAAAAACTCTAAATAAAATGGTTATAGAAGGAAAATACCTCAACATAATAAAGGCCATATATGACAAACCCACAGCTAACATCACACTCAAGAGTGAAAAACTGAAAGCTATCCCTTTAAGAACAGGAACAAGAGATGGATGCCCACTGTCACCACTCTTATTTAACATAGTATTGGAAGTCCTAGCCAGAGCAATCAGGCAAGAAGAAGAAATAAAAGGGATCCAAACTGGAAAGGAAGAAGTTAAATTGTCGCTATTTGCAGATGACATGATTTTATATATATAAAACCCTAAAGAATCCACCAGAAAACTATTACAAATAATCAACAAATACAGTCAAGTTGCAGGGTACAAAATCAACACACAAAAATCAGTTGCGTTTCTATATACTAACAATGAAACAGCAGAAAGAGAAATTAAGAATACAATCCCATTTACAATCACAACAAAAAGAAACATATACCTAGGAATAAATTTAATGAAACAGGTGAAAGACCTATACACTGAAAACTATAAAGCGTTGTTGAAAGAAATAGAAGAAGACACAAAGAAATGGAAAGATATTCCATGCTCGTGGATTGGAAGAATTAATATAGCTAAAATGTCCATACTTCCTAAAGCAATCTACAGATTCAATGCAATCACTATCAAAGTTCCAATGACATTTTTCACAGAAACAGAACAAAGAATCCTAAAATTTATATGGAGTAACAAAAGACCCTGAAAAGCCAAAGCAATCCTGAGAAAAAAGAACAAAGCTGGAGGCATCACGCTCTCTGATTTCAAAAAATACTGCAAAGCTATAGTAATCAAAACAGTAATCAAAAACAGACTCACAGATCAATGGAACAGATTTGAAAGCCCAGAAATAAACCCACACATCTATGGACAGCTAATTTTCGACAAGGGAGCCAAAAACATACAATGAAGAAAGGAAAGTCTCTTCAATAAGTGGTGTTGGTAAAACTGGACAGCCACACGCAAAAGAATGAAAACAGACCATTATCTTACACCATACACAAAAATTAACTCAAAATGGATTAAAGACTTGAATATAAGACCTGAAAGCATAAAACTTCTAGAAGAAAACATAGGTAGTATGCTCTTCAACATCAATCTTAGCAGTATCTTTGTGAATACCACATCTCACCAGGCAAGGGAAACAAAAGAAAAAATAAAGAAAATGGGACTACATCAAACCAAAAAGATTCTGCACAGCAAAGGAAACCATCGACAAAACAAAAAGACAGCCTAACAGTTGGGACAAGATATTTTCAAATCATATATCTGATGAGGGTTAATATCAAAAATCTATAAAGAACTCACACAACTCAACAACAAAAAACAAACAACCCAATTTAAAAAATGGGCAAAGGATCTGAACAGACATTTTTCCAAAGAAGTTATACAGATGGCCAACAGGCACACAAAAAGATGTTCGACATCACTAATTATTAGGGAAATGCAAATCAAAACTACAGTAGGATATCACCTCATACCCGTCAGTATGGCTATAAT